AGATGTGCAGGCTCGCACGAATCTAGAGACTGCCCTGACAAAAACAATAAGGATAAACCCCTGCTCTGTGCTAACTGCGGCCAGAACCATACTTCTAGTTTCAAAGGGTGTGTAAAGTTCCCCAAACCTAAACAGGAAAAGCAGAAAACATACCAAAGCCGAATCATCGAAGGTAAGTCATATGCGCAAACTCTAGCTTCTGGTACTTACAACGAAACTATCAGCGAAGCAAAAAAGATTTTCTCTGACCTTGCTGAATTAGTTGCCATCATCAAAAGCGCAGGATTCCTGCAAATCACACAACAAATCAAGCAGATAAATACTACCAATGAGGAGAAGAAAACTAATACCAATCTAAATAATGGGTCTTAACTCTATTATTAAAGCACCCATACAAGTTATGATCTGGAATGCTAATAACATCCTCAATAAAATTCCGGAACTTCAAAATTTTCTTCTAACTAAAGATATTGATATTGCATTAATTACTGAAACGCATGCAAATCCCAGCAAAAGAATAAATATTCCAAACTACCGGTGCTACCGGTGTGACAGGCTTAGCCACAAAGGTGGAGGGGCTGCCATTTTTGTCAAAAGCTCTATACAATCCTGCCTCATAAAGGAAGATAGATCTAATAATCACGAATTAGTTACGGTTTCTGTTTTACTGCCTTCATACGGCATCATCTACTTCAGTTCTCTTTATAATCCACCACATAACCCTCTCGACGAAGAAATTCTGAAGAACATCCTTTGTACTAATGATAATAATATTCTGGCTGGAGACCTCAATGCGAAAAATACTGAATGGGCCTGCCGGCAGACCAACAGCAATGGCAATACGCTCAAAAATTTCATTACTAACTATCCTGTTTATTTATACGCTCCAGACAACTATACCTACCTCCCTGAGAATGTGAGAGAAGGAGATATTCTCGACATTCTCCTCACCAATATTTCCATACCTATCTTTATTGATTCTACTATAGACCTCACCTCTGATCATATTCCTGTTATTGCTACCCTTGGCACCAACAAAATTGCTAATGAAAAATCCATCAATAAAACTGACTGGAAACAATTCTATGAAATTCTTGAAAATAACCCACCTAAACTCAATAGCCTCAAAACTACTTATGACATCGAAGTTGCCATTGATATGCTCACTAACAGTATCAAGAATGCCTACAACTCTGCCACACAGAAGATTCCAGCCAACAAATTCCAGGAGATTCTCCCCCATAGTATTAGAACACTAATTAAAGAAAGAAATAAGCTCAGGAAACGCTGGAACCGGTCCTGGGACCCTCAAATTAAATCCGAACTTAATAAAATTAACCGATTAATCAAGAAAAATATTACTAACTACAAGACTGAGCTATGGCAAAATAAAATCCAAAAATTCAATGAACCCGGAAATGAATTCTGGAGCTTTGCCAAGCGCCTCAGAATTACTCCCACCTGTAATAAGCCCATCAAAAAAGATGACAAGATTGCAATTACTAACAAAGACAAAGCTACTCTTATGGCGGAGCACTTTGAAAATCAATTTATCCCGAATGAGACTCCTTCAGACCCTACCTTCACATATGATGTAAGGTACTTTGTTCAGGATTATATCAATAGCCCCACCGCAAGACTCAATACTGATTTTACTAATCCGAAAGAGGTCATCGATATCATTAAACGTCTCAAAAATAGAAAAGCTCCAGGATATGATGAAATTAATAACATCGCAATTAAGAATCTACCACTCAGCACTATCTCTAAGCTCATCAGTATTTATAATGCTTCATTGGACAAGTCCTACTTTTCCCATGAAAATGGAAAATAGCAAAAATTATACTCATTCCCTAAACCAGGCAAAGACACCACTTCTCCCGACGGCTACTACCGACCTATCAGCCTACTGCCCGGACTTGGAAAGATCCTAGAAAGAATCATTCTCAATAGAATGCAACAATATATTAGCAGACTTCCTCCTGAACAGTTTGGATTTAGAAAAACATTATCCACCACCAAACAGCTTGTTCGATTAGTTGAATTTATCGGCAGTGCTCTTACACAACCATCAGAAAGTTGCACTACTCATGCTCGACGTGGCCAAAGCTTTTGACCGCGTCTGGCATGAGGGGCTTATTTTCAAACTAATCAAGCTCAATTTCTCACCGGAAATGACCAAGTTAATTTATTCCTTTATCAAAAATAGAAAATTCTACGTCTCCTTCGGACAAGATAATTCAAGCTTCAAATACATCCGTGCCTCTGTGGCCCAAGGCTCTATTTTAGGACCCATCCTTTATCTTTTTTATGTCTCCGACTTTCCAAATCCTGACTACGAAATCAATAGATTCCTTGGCTGCTATGCGGATGATACTGCTCTTGCAGTAAAATCCCTTAGCCCCAATGCTGCAATATTAAAACTTCAAAATATCATGCCCTCCATCGAGCAATGGTGCAAACAATGGCGTATCGTAATTAATGCTGAGAAATCTCAACTACTCATTATCAGCAGAAATAGAAAGACGCATCAAATCATCACTAACGATCTTAAACTCTTTGATAAAAATATACCCATTGTCAATAAAGCCAAATACCTTGGAATCACTATTAATCATCGACTTACCTGGACTGACCACATCAATATAATTAAAGGCAAGGCCTACGGCAACATGAAAAACCTCATGCCTCTGCTGGGAAAGTTCTCCGAGCTTAATCTCAAAAGTAAAAAGCATATTTATACAGCAATCATCAGGCCCACCCTTTGTTATGCGTCGCCTGCCTGGGCTGCTATCAAAGATAAGGATATTAAACAAATTCAAATAATACAAAACAAGTTTTTAAGACTTATCACGAATGTGCATTTCTATGTTTCAAATGCCACCCTGCATAAGGACTTAAAGATTGACTACATTAAAGATTTCATCTTGAAGACGAATGATAAATTTTTCAATAAAGCTCTCAACTGCCCATTTATGAATCACTTTCAAGTTTTTAACTACGCTCCTTTACCTGAAGATAGAGACCTGAGGCCCTGGGCGGCCCATCAGTACAACCAAAATTTCCCAACTTGACATTACTGTACATATCTGTATATATTTATTTTGCAATCGTATCCTTTTATATTAATCCAGATTTTGCATTTACTCCAGCTTTTTATAGTTTATTATTTGCCATGTATTACTTTAATTGTGTTGTACATATGTATTATATTTAATTTTCTTTATTTTCAGGAACCCTATACATTATGCATGTTTTATCCTTATATATCCCAGAATTACTTTACGCAAGTATTTATGTTTATTCACTACTTTATTGATTTATTCAAATGTTTTATATTATGTATTTCTCCTCAATCTTGCACATTTGTAGGAAATTATCAGGAATAGATAATGCTTCCCCACCACCGCGTTCTCCAATAAGTCTGGTTCTCATTCTGTGACGCAGGGTCACCCCCTTTTCTCTTGACCTTTAGTTACCACCACCTAACTGTAAGAACGGCTGATTTCAGGTGCCACCACTCATCAGGAGCTGGTAAAGCGGCATCCACTAGCTGCACACCGGCCATAGCAACATGGATGGATGGATGGATGTTTAGTGACCAGGTGAAAAAGAAAGGACAACACATATTTAGCAATCAGCTGAATGGAACACAAATGGGTGTTAACAATATAACAAAGAGTGCTCATTGCTGAATTTTATGCAAAGCATACTGAAACAGCTGCAAAACAATGAAAATGTTACTACTGTAATCTTGCATGCATAAGCTGATAGGCATTTCTTACAGTTTAGTAAATCACACATAGGGTTGCACTGATATCAAAGTTAGCCATTTCCAGCATTTTCTTTAGTGTCAGAATTATATAATTTTCTGGGCCAGTTTTATTTTAGCCATCTTGGACAAAGACTACATATCATTCTTCATAGTTTAACCCTGCAACTGTAACGTGGGGGTAGAAATACTTATTGATTATTAAAGATTATTAAAATCAAAACTTATTGTAAAAAGTGCTATAAAATCATGTGTATGAGCCATACGTCCTCTATCTGCGCAGAGTGTCTTCAGCCTCAAGTGACAGATGGCGAAATCAGGTAAGCAGGTTTGGAAGGTGTAAGTTTTAAAAAAACGGTTCTTTTTTTTTTTTTTTTCCATTTATGTATATTATAATACAATTTTAATTGCATTATTCACGCTTAGTTCCCATTAAAGTTTTGAAAAATGTTTTGGAGCAATAGTGTTATGTTTTTCTGTCCTCAAATACAGATTTGGTAAGCTTTTATCATGGGGGTGTAGGGACACCCCACGTTACAGTTTACGAGAGAACTGTCTACGTTACAGCTGCAGTGTTAAGTTGTCGTAATTGTGTAATTCATGATAAAGCCTATGATCATCAACTTAAAGGTTTGTTCTGTGGTTTTTACTACCTACTACATGGTTTCAAATGCAGTTAAACTGAGTATAGCAAAGTACACAAGAACTGCATGCCTAAAATACGAATGTCTTCATGAAGGAATTTTTAGAAAAACTGGCTTACACATACACTACACATAGAACAAATTACAGAAATCCAGTGTAGCTACCTATTTGTAAAAGTAATGACTATTTGTTAAATGACAACTATGTTGAATAGTAGTTTCATCTGTAGAAGACATTTCAGGCTAAAAATCCATGCAAATATTGTTTTGATTTGTTCACTATTAAAGGGGAGGAGATAAGAGAATAGACATTATTTCATAACTACCTTCCATAGAATTTTATCTACTTCATCAACTAAAGCTGACTAGGCAATCAATAACTTAGCCGTTAGCTTTAATATCTGACCAGATTATCAATTAACTGATTAGTAATTATAAGTTTAAGAGAAAAGTAATTTTTTTTAAATACAAACAAAAATTACAAAACTAATTAACCATTTTTATAGCAGCATTCTAAACCATTTTTACAAGTAGTAAAAACAAGTTTTGGACTTTAATAAATCACAAAATAGACTATTACCCACCTCATCAGCTAAAGCTGTTGATATGGTACCAATCCCATCAGAAAAAGTGTATCTCCCATTCCATGTTTTAATGTCTTCCAAATGAACTTCCTCTTCATTTTTTATAGTTATCTGAACTCCTTCTTCAGTAGATGAAAAACACTGACCCATTCTTGCCATATATTTAGCAACGTTCTTTATGCTACTAAAATCACCCATCCATTTCCGTATCGATGCTGCTGTATTACCATTTTGGTCTTTCGCATACATCCACAAACCATGCTCACGAAGTTGGCTAGATGATGAAGCCAGAATTTCATAATGACGAAAACCAATTACAAGACCATTCTTTAACTTACTTTTTACAACCTCCTCCATAATGCTTTCTTTTTGTGAATTATGATGAACAGCATAAGTTAACTTGGAATAATTATCATCTTGCACAGACACACGAAGAATATACTCTACACCAAATTGTCTAATTACTCGATTATCAAAATGTTCAAATGGTTGAAGAAATATAGTTCTGGATGGAGTAATTAAAACTCGACGAATATAGCACATTCCTCTGGGGAGCTCTCTCAGTTCTTTAACATCACAAAAATATTTAAATTTAAATGCTAATGCTTTCTCAAAAGTAAAAATTAAACCCTTGTTTGCCATATCAGCTATACAAAACAAGGCTTTTACAAGAGCTGATGAATTTTTGAATGCATATGATGAAAGTTCCTGAGCTAAATGATCTATATAATTTTGATTATATTTTTGCTTTAATGCAATTTCGTTTAACACTACAGTAGTTTTGGTATGTATTGTCTTCCATGCATATTCACAATCAAATTTAATTAAACTTGAAATATTTTTTACAACAGCGTTACGTGTCCATGGATATCTTCTTAATTTCTCAAGCTTTTCATTAATTTTTTCAGTGGTTAAAGAGGTGAAATATATTTTGGTTTTCTTATAACATCGAACAGATAACTGCTCAATAATCCACCGTGTCTGGAATTTATCTTCGAAACTCATCTTTAAAACTAAAGTTCTTCCAATACCTTTAGTCTTACAAAATGTGTAGTTACACTGACAACCAAATTCAAAAGTTCTTTCAAATTTTTTAGAAGTATACTCCATCAGCTTAGCTTTTGATATTCTTTGAAGCTGCAACTCAGAATCTTCATCATGACTTTGCTCTTGATTTATGTACATTAAAGGAGGATATTCCAGATGAAAGTACAGGTCAGCTGTATTTTGCTCAGAATCAAAATTTGCTATGATCCTAATGATATTGATATATTCAACTATTAATTTGTAACCCATTTCTCCATTTTTCTTACATGCAGGGTTATGAGAACTTGAAATATAAACAGCAAAATGTCGCTGAAGGTGAGAAAATGAACACAAAACGCATGATGTTCGAACAACACGGAAGCGATAACGAGGCACAAAAATCTTCATGGTAGGAACTGTACCAAAAGCAAATTCTGAAGCTTTAATGTTATCATAATAATTGGTAAAGTTTGTTGAAATATCACTCTGATTTTCAAACATCAACCACATCAAATATTCATTTTTTTTAGCTTCACTACACCATTTTTTCTTGATAGCAAAAATAAAGTTTTCAATATCACTGTCTCTCTTGACATCTGAGCATATGATAGAAATTTCTAAATCATAAAGTTCATTATTATAGCCAAATTCATTATCGTGCTTTCTGACATCAGCCAACTTTGTAACATGAGTAAATTTTTCAGAAGAACAATCATTAAAAAATGCCTTTGTATTAGATACAAATTCAGCCACATCACTTGCATTGCACATAAATAGCACAGTGAATTTTAAGGCTTTAGCTGACATTCTGAAAAAGATTTTTTAAAAAATTCCAATTGTTATAAGCATAAAATGGCATAACAAAGCAGCACTTAAAAAAATAAAAATTTGTATTATTTGATTATTTGCACCTCCATGAAAAGTCACTAATTCATTGAAGACTTTGTGAATAACAAAAAAAAAACATTTGTTTAGTATCTCAATAAGCACCATTCTGTTCATAAATAATAATAAAAAAGAGCATTTTATAAAAATGTAAACCTTAATGAAAGAAAAAACAAAAATTTACATAACTAACACTTAAATTTTTATAATCAATGCTTACTGTTCGATAAACAAAAATTGGGTAAATCTAAACATGCTCCAGCATATGATTTGTACTTGTACAGAGTAATACAGTACAAAGTCCGTAATCCAGACGTCCATAATCTAGAATGGGCTAATCTTTGGAATATGGTAACAGGTAGTTTGGCGACATTTTGGTAAGGCGGTAAAAGTTACTAGCTAGGACTTTAGTAGTGTACATGGATAAAGTCAAGAGTGTGCGCAATGCCATTTATGTGCAATTCTGGGATGTTTTTTTAAGTGAAAATAGGTCGACGTGTACATGGATGATACCGTGTATGTGCAATTCTTTAAATTGCGGCAAGCAGTTTGCGATTCTGCACTTTCTAACAATTTCGCACCTAATCTTCGTCATGATTAAGCACTTTTGTTCCATAAAAGTTCTAGTATAAGCGTAATTCGGCTAGCAGATTGTTGGAAAAAATGTTGAGCAAAGAAAACATGTCTTTACTTCGTGAAAACAAAATGGCATCCAAAACAAAACTAGCAGGTTGCTGTAGCAGGGTTGGTTGCCAAATTTTCGTGAAAAAATCGCCAAGTTACCATAATCCAAAGATTAACCCCAGAGTGATCTATTATCCGGACCTCAAAGCCACAAACGTTTTATTTTTGGTATGCTTTACGCATGCACATGATGTGTTTACGCATGTGTGTTTAATGTATAATGAACGGTATAAGCTAGGCTAAAATTATCTTTACTGATTCTAAGGCATTTCAGCTAATGTTACAGATTGCGCTGTTCCTTAGTCTTCTAATTGGATCCGGCTTATTATTTTTTGCAGACTGTTAGAGCAATTTTATAAAAATTAAGCTTGAGCTTTTGATTATTTCAAAAAGAGTTTCCGATTCTGGAGCTGCGAAAGAATCTACAAAGAGAAACCATGTTTCGATGTCCATCAAACAAAAAGTGGAATTGCTGCAAAAAATGGATAAAGGCATGTATTATTATATCTGTTTATAAATTATTGTTTATAAATTATATCTGTTTATAAAATTAAAGAAAGTGTATTAGCACAAAAAACAAAGCAACATAAACAACTTAGATTGAAAGAAATGTTTAATAAAGTAAACAAATAAATATTAAGCTTTTTTTTTTTTTTTTTGTAAATTTTGATACCCTTTATTACGGTTTCATATTTTAATTGTATAATTTCTGCATGCCATCTTACCAGATTTAAATTTATGATCTATAATCTGTAGAAACCCCTAATCTGGAATCGCCAAAGTCCTGACAAGTCCAGATTACGGACTTTGTACTGTACTACTACTGTCATGTGTATACTAAAAATACACCATAAACTAGGTTAGTCTACCGAATATTAAAACCAGGGGTACAGATTATCTGAAAGTACCCAAAATAATATGAAAATAAAAACTAATATAATAGATATTTCTAATGCTCAATATTCTCCTTAGAGTATCAAATAAAATAAAATAAAAGATCAAATAAGAGTGTTAAAATAAGCACCATTCCGTTATTTTTAACGGTCGGTATTCCCCTTATAGTTATCAAATAAAAGTGTTAAAATGACAAAATGTCTTCATACAACCTTCAGAGATATATGTCCACATAAAACAGTATTCTTTATGCTTTCTGTTGGCTATTTGGAATGTCTAATAAATTCTCCTTTCAGAAACAAGATCCTTAGAAATAAGATTAGTTTCATTTTTAATATAATTTTTCCCATTTATTTTTAATTTTCCCAAAAATGTACTGCTTAAGTCAGTACAGTAACAGCTTCTAGTTATATTATACTCTTATTCTACTTTTTTAAAAGTCATGGATCCCATAGCCATTTAAAAGCCAAGGGTTTAAATTTTATCCATGTTTTTCAGAATCTCCTCTCTCCTATAAAAAAAGAGCTATTTCCTTATTATTACGGCTGCTGTTAAATAGAGAGAGACAAGATGATTGATAAATTGACAACGTATGATACATACCATTGCCAAAGGCCAGCATTTCTAACTATCTTCACTTATAGTGCACCAACCATAAGAACTGCTCTGATTAGGTCACATGCTAACACTACATTTCTGTCATATTTTTTGATTTAACAAGGAAGATACTAATGACATCCAGTTGTTTTATGTTGATTTAGATCATATACTATTGATAATTCATTAATAATGTTAGTACCTTTCAAATAGCAGAGGCTTAATAACAAGAGGGTAAGATGAAACGTTCTCAGCCTGACAATGAAAGACTGCAACTTTCAATTAAAAAATGATTTTATTTTTCTACATAATCTCCCTTGACTTCAACACACTTGGTCCAGTGTTTCTCCAACATCAGCATTCCTTCGAGGAAGTGAGAGTCGGGAAAGTTGTGAAAATATTCATCTACGACCCTTTCAACTTCTTCATTGGATGCAAAGCACTTCCTAGAAATAAATTTCTTCAAGTTTGAGAATAGATAGAAGTCTGAGGGTGCCAAATCAGGAGAATAGGGGGATACTTGGTCACAGTTGTCCTGGTGAAAGATGATTTTTTTCTTCAAGCCACGCCTCTTCTCATGAATTTTGGCATCAAGATGGTCCAGAAGGTTGGAATAATATTTGCCTGTAATTGTTCTCCCATTTGCAAGGTAATTGATCCCTTTCACAGCTCAAAATACACTGGCCATGATCTTTCCACTGCTTGGACCGTTGTTTCGTTTCTGGCATGTAGTGATGAACTCACGTCTCATCCATGGTGACCAATCGCTGCACAAAATCAGTAGGATCCCTGTTGAATCGGTCCAAAGATTGCTGTGAAAATCATTTGCGCATTTGCTTTTGATCGGCATTCAGCAAATGTGGCACCCATCTTGCATACAGCTTTCACATCCCTAATTCTTTACGCAAAATGTTTCGTGCCCTTTCTTCTGATATCCCCACAGCTTCAGATTATCACACACGCCTTCACTCACCTATCGTCCAACATGATATCATGCACTTTTCAGATGGCTTCCGGTGCAGTTGTGGTTTTTGACCATCCTTCATGTGGGTCATCTTCGAGGGGTGTACGACACTATTTAAATTCAGCTGCTCACATTTTAATGGTTGACGTGGAATGAGCAGAGTCCCTGCAAACGTTTGTCAACTTTAAATGAATTTCCTTTCCTTTTTTATCTATCCAAAATGAAAAAATTTGACTTCACGATATTCATGTTTTTCCATTTTAATGAATAACAGGCAAGATGTCTACTGTGAAAATCCGTATAAACAAACTACTTGAGAGAACAAGTTGAAACTTGTCATACAAACTAATGACACCTGCAGCCAGGCAAGAAACATAAATTTTTGCTGATTGGAGTGCCACCTCAGGGTCAGACCGAGAACTTTTCACCTTACCCTCGTAAGAAAGAAAAAAAAATTACTGCTACAAGGGTTATTTGGAAACTAAAGTTTGAACTGCTGTAGCTAATCAACTGTCATGCAAATATTGAAAAATGCATGCGGACGGTTAGTATTTTTGGGTACCCCTTGGATTATCAAGTTGTTGATTATTTTATGGTAACAGTATGTTATGTTTAATGTTATGAAAACTATTATGCCGTGAAATGCATTTTCGTGGTGATTTTGACAGTTGGGAAACTATTTGTAAGGGCTTATTTATGTGCTGTATGTTGGTTAAGAAGTACATTGCTTATTTTGTGCTTTACACCATAAAATGCTTGGTGGTGGTATGATTAACCTGAAGTTTCTGTACAGACTGGCTGTGTAAATGAAGATTTAAATGGCTTTGCTCACTTGTTGGTAAGTTACGGAGTGATATTTAAGGATCTGGAAAACTGGAGCTCATCAACACTATGGAAGATATGTGAGGTGTAATGAAAAGGGATTTTCGAGAGAAATGCCTATGGTAATTCAGAAGATATTTTTTATTTTTATTGTTGTGAATTTATGGGGTGATGGCAGTATAGAGATTCTAGTTTAGATAATTTTAAATAGTTTTTTTTTTTCGGATGCTGTTAAGGAATTCTGTGTGTCACATATACCAAAGAAACAGAAATTTTAAAATAAGATGATATTTCTTTTTTGTATTGCATAGATTATATAACATGCATTTCCATTCTTATGTTATTTCTTTGTTTGGTTTAAAATGCAGTTTATAGAGATTATATATATATTTTTAATTATGTTTTGGATGCCATTTTACTGAGAAGGCCGCTGGATGTAAACAAGAATGGCATCAAAAAATCGTCAATTATCGCCAAAGGGTACCCTGAAATATATTTTTACCCATGCAGACTGACTCCTGGTATGCCTTGCACATCAAATGACGTCATTTGCAGTGGTATTGTTGCAGTGTGCTGTATACAGTGTCAGCTGAAAGCGTTTAAAACAACTGAACAGCCTGCTGACTTTTGAGATTCTATGTTTGAGAGCAAGAAACGTTTCAGCAATGGAAATTCATCGACAGATAAGGGATATGTATGGCCCCAATGCAATGAGTGACAGCAAAGTGTATAAGAGGCTGACATGTTTCAAGGCCGATTTGGTCAATACGTTGGACAAAAAGATTCATAAAGACTGCCGATTCACATTCTCAACTTTAGCACGGATATTTCCGAATGTGGGTAGAACAACTTTGCAAAAAAATTATCTCTGAAAAGTTGCAATTTCACAAATTGGTCACATGTTGGGTTTCCAGGTTGCTTAACTGAATAATATCAAATAAAAAGAATGGCTTGTGCTCCTGTTTTTTTGGAATGCTATTATTAGGAAGGTGATATGATATGAGGGATGCAGCCCGACCCTCCTGGCAGACGTTGCCCTATGGCCTTTTTGCATGCTGTGCCAGAATTAGGAAGGTGATCAATTTTTAGACAGGACCTGTTATAGGGGACGAGACGTGGGTTTATCACATAGTCTAAATATCAATCAATGGAATGGCACCACACGGCATGACATTACCAATCAAAGTCAAGGCTAAGCAGACAATCTCAACACATAATGTTATAGCTATAGACATGCAGTCTTTTTGAGTTTATACAGTAAGAAACAACAATAAATGCAGCTACTTACTGGCCTACCTTAGCTAAACTTAGACATGCAATACAGAATAAGGGACGTGGCATTCTGACATCTGGAGTTTTGTTGCTGCATGACAATGCCAGACCACATTTTGCTATTCACACACAAAATTTGATCATATTTTTTGGATGGGAACAGACTGTCTACCCACCATACAGTCTAAACTTCATGCTGGGTAATTTTCACTTGTTCCACTACTTAAAGCAGTTTCTCAGTGGCAAGCACTTGGCCACAGATGGCCAAAGAAGCAGCTCAAGACTGGTTATCCTCACAACGGCAGCAGTCTATGGCTTGGGCATATAAAAGCTTATAGAACATTACGAAAAATATTTAAACAAATATGGAAATTACGTAGAAAAATAGAGAAACATGTAGGGAATTAAATTTTTAAAAAAGGTTTTTGAAAAAAAATCTGTTATGGTTCATATTTTATGGATCTTACATTTTTATGTCTTATTTTCCAAATAACCTATGAATTTTAAGTAATATAATGTATCAGAACTTCAAGAAAAACATTAAAATACATATATTTCTCTAATAATTGCATACAAACCTATACATAGAAAAAAATCGGTAAATTTATACAAGTTGATACAATTCAAAATATTTAATTAATTTTTTTTTCTTCTGTCTGAAACTTTTGAATGCTTGTTTATTTTTTTATCAATTTTGCATTTGCTTACGCATATTAGGTAGTTTGGCAAACAATATATATGCGAAATTTATTGTTCTAAAATATACATCTTCCCACTTCTTCTCATATAGAATAAAATTACTTTTTAGATACTTTTGATTCAAAGACAAAAGTACTCATTTACAATTCTCTACATTCTATAATCCTGAAGGAACTCTGTTAGTTGTTTCAAAAAACATCGTTGATTCTTCAATTTCAAAGAAATAAAAATATTTTTCATTATAGTACTGTAAGTTTTATGGACAAATTTGCATAAAAATATGTGTGTAATTCTTTGAAAACTTTTTATGTTATACTATTCCTAGTTATTTCATCTTGTAACATCTTCGTCTTTAATATTATTTTGTTCTTAGAACATTTTAATTTTGAAATAAACAATTTTATATAAGCATTTCTAGAATCAGTATTATGCTTAGTGTGAATCACATAATTTCCATCAGTTGAAATACAATCATTTAGTTATCCTTTGAAACACCTTTATTGAATGTTCCAAAACTTCATCTTGATACCACCAATTAAAGAGATTTACTAGAAATTTTAGGTTTTCAGAACTCGATTTAATGATAAACTTCTTTTGAAACCCTAAAATTATATTTAATATCTAAAATTTAACCAAATCGCAACTTATACAGGTTGAGTACAAATTACACTGGATGAAATTAACAAAAAATGATTTTAAAAAACAGCTAATTAGGGAAGAATAAGAAAAGTAAAAAGGCAATTTCATAATGTGTACATAATAAGAAAGCTTAGATTTTTACTTCCAATAAAATATTAAAATAGAGTCATTAAGAAGCAGATAAGTTTATTGATATTAATAGAATCTTAATTCTTATCATAAAAGAATTATAACAGACACAGAAAAACCAAATAGGGGAACCAAAATATTTTACGTGCTTAGATACGGTGACCAGCTTTTGGAGGGGCAGTCCCAATTTTTAACAATTTGTCCCACATCTAGCGACGTTTTAAAGAAGTCCCGATTTTTGGAAGATGGTAAAATATATTCTTATGGTTATATATACACTGTGCTCGTTGAAAAAGAATCTTCAAAAATTTAGCTAGAGTTTGTACACAATCAACGAGCTTTTTTTCAAAACACTATAAAACTTATCGCAGGTGACAAAATTTTGGTAATCGAAGTAGCAAATGAAGTTAATAATTTAAAATTTGTGTCAAGAACAGTTAGAAAATAACTTTCTTCCTTTAACTTTCCGTAATAGTATAAGCCAGCTAGAAGAACAAGGTGTAATAAATTGTGCAGATATCATGAATCACATTAAAAAGTTCTATAGAAAGCCAGCTAGAAGAACAAGGTGTAATAAATTGTGCAGATATCATGAATCACATTAAAAAGTTCTATAGTAACTGCATAGATTATTTAGAAGAGTGGACAGTACAATGACACTAAACATTTATTTTCATTGGGTTACATTGCAACAAGTATTTAATTCGAATAATGTGCAAAAACCATTTGATCATATTACTCCAAATTTTCCCATATAGCAATATTTCCTAAAATGATCTTTTTAATGAGGAACCATTATTAAAAAAATATGCTGATAAGGAAAAGGTTAAATCTTGGGCATCAGCAAAAATCACAATAGAAAACAAATGGTTAGAAATATTTCATCATTTTGAAACAAACCTTGTTCTCTACAATAATGCACTAAAAACTGTGGAATACGCACTGTCCTTACCAGGAACTAATGCTGCGACTGAATGCGTTTATCAGAAAAATCACAATTAAGTGTTGACACTTTGAAAGACATTTTATATGTGAAATATAATTTAAAAAATTCTTGTGGAAAGCTTCATGACCTTTTAAACAACTATAGCAATTTAATAAAAAAATTCACTCAAATGAGAACTATGCCAAATAATAAAATAATACTATACAGAATTTCTTAAAGTACAAAATATATTATATATATATATATATATATTTGTAAATTGTACTTATGTTGAAATTTTAAAAAATATATTGCAATACTATTTTTGCGTTCTATGAAATTTTAGTTGCTCCATGTATACCAAATTTTTAATCAAGAACTCCCTCCTCCGGTCAATGGTGTCCCGCTTTACCAATGTTAAAATCTGGTCACCTTATGCTTAGAGTCTCTAGAAATCGTAATCCGGTCCTAGACGGTCTTATGACTACCACTTAAGAAGACAAGCATCATTCCCTAACTAGCATTATTTAATCCTAATATCCGGTGCACACGGGATTTGGCGACTTTATGATGAGCAGTAAAAATGGGACATATACGGTGAGTAGTTAACGGGTCATTCAAAGAAAATATATAGTTAAACATAGTATACACTATGTATATAGTATATATACTATGTATATACACACTTAGTATATAGTGTATATATAGACGTTCTTTGGATCATTTTTGGTGTTGGCGATAATTTTCAAAGTCGCGCCAAGGCTGCACCGTAAACTAGGATTTTACCATGATGGAAAATATCAAATTTACTTCAAATAAAAAATATAAAGTGAATGAAAAATCCTAAGTATAATACTGACTTTTTAAGACTACGATTCAGTTTCAGGTCTTCCGATCTTACACAAGAGGTTTCGCATAACAATAACTAAAGGCAAATTCAGACATTCGACCGAAGAAAATGAAACTGAAACTTTTGCGGGAAAGATGACATCATAGTGTGAGCTTCTTATTCAGGATCTGAGCTGAGTTAAAAGTGTAAAATATTAAGGCTCCGTTTCAGCACGTAGCAGGAAGCCGGAAAATAACAGAAAAGAAAATTAAATTCGTTACTATGTACGCAGGTAGTTAAACTTAGAAAGAAATGTGTCTACTCACAATCTAAGTGAAAGTGAAATATATTAAAAAATTTTAATTTTCATTTTTTTATATTATTCTGAAAATTAAGCTAAAATAAACGGTGGTTTCACGGGAGAAGGTGCTAGCACCAGGGTACATGGGCTTTAAGGTTTTTGCTCGTAGGAGATCATCGAGGCAAGCGACTGTACGTTCGCAACGCTCTATAAATAAGTAAAAAGCATTTTTTTCCCCTTAGTGATTATCAATTAAATCACTTTGAAATAGTGTTCTTTCTAGAAAAACTACACCTTTTCCAAAGATTTTCAGCTCCGATGCTGATGAGAATGAATCAGCAGACAGTGTGAGGATATACTACGAAAGCCTGGAAAATAAGTACCCTTCTTTCATCTAAACTAAATCAAATTTCTATAAATAAGTGCCTTTAAACTAATAATTTTTCATCAGTTTTCAGCATTAAAAATACTTGAAATTGCTCATTGCTTCCTTTGTGGTTACATTTCCAAACAGAAGTCAACGTTATCAGTTCACGTCTGTCACCACCTATAAAGCGGCCGATGCTCTTCGCACCCAAGGTCCGTAGCAAGATCAGTAAAATACTTCTTACCCCTTTCTTCATCAGTAAAATGCTTCTTCCCATACTTCACCTAGTTTACCCCTTTTAGATTTATGGATGAAAGGAAAAGCCTTGCACCCGAAAATTCTCAGATGAGAGAGATTGGGTTTCTTGTTATTCCATAATTCGTATGGCGTTTTTGCATTTTGTAGGTTTTGCATTTGGTTTTGTAGGCATACGATTCTGTAAATAATTCGCAGTCAGTACTGCTTCTGCCCAGTATCTGTGAGGTTGGCCTGAGTCAGCTAAAAGACATCTTGTCGTCTCCATCAAAGACCTATTTTTGCGTTCACTGACTCCCTTTTGTGCTGGACAATAAGGTACAGTAAGCTGGTGATTTATACCATGTTTTATAAGATATTCTTCAAGTTCCTTACTTGTGTACTCACCACCGTTATCACTTAGCGTTTTTACCTTTCTCCCGAATTTATTGTTTGTAAGAGCAATAAATTGTTTTAGTTTAGAAATTACTTCATTTTTCTTTTTCATTAGGTAAATCATTGTGAACCTGCTGTAATCATCAATAAAAGTTACGAGGTATAGGTATCCACTGACAGCAGGTGTTTGTACTGGTCCTAAAACATCAGTGTGAACGAGTTCGAGCGGTTTAGATGCTCTGAATTTCGATTCTTTGGGATACGGGAAATCAGTTAGTTTACATTTTACGCACTGAATGCATTTGGTATCATGTTTACAATTATCTAGTTTAATTCCTTCAGCGAGTTCTTCGTTTACAAGTTGATTGATTGTGTCATCGTTTTTGTGACCAAGGCGTCTATGCCAAAGTTGAACACAGTTCTCATTTTTGCACTGAAATGCTGCATGAACTGATGGTTCATTATTACTGTCTATTGGTTTAATTTGGTGAAGATTATTAGTTGCATGACATTATAGAATAATCTAATCTCCTCTCGCGATCATACTTCTATTTCCTTCAAACAGAACCGAAAGCCCTTTTTCCGTTATTTTCTTAATTGAGATTAAATTCGCTTCTAATTAATGTATAAAACTTCCGATAAGAGAATATCAGTTATTTTTTTGTTTAGCATTTAATGTTTTAAAACGGACAGTTCCTATCGCCGTTGATTTAATACACTGCCCATTCGCAGTTATAATATCTGACGGATTTATGGGTTGAAAGTCCGTGAAATATTTCTTATTATTTACTAGGTGATTACTTGCCCCGCTATCGAAAATAAAACTCTCGGATGATTGATGTGCGACAAGGATGTCAAACTCGCGGCCCGCGGGCCGCATAGGGCCCACAACAAATATTTTTGCGCCCCGGCCAATATATCGGCAAATAATAATATATAATAATAAAATAACATATCGACGAAGGAAAAAATGAAATGTTTACTGCTAAGTAATTAACGATAATTTATTCAGTGTTGTTAGATTCAGTGTTGTTAATTTAAGTAGTGTGTGTGTCAGCTCGCACAAAAATTGTCGCCATAAATTGACGCACGTGTGCGCATGCGTCAATTTATGGCAAAGCGCATGAAGGCTATCTGCTTAAGAGGAATCTTTCCTCCGTGAAAGATTATGTAACATTCATATTCACTGTGCACATAGGAAAAATTATGAAGACAAATTGTGCGCCAATAGTCTAACCTGGGTTGAATTACAAATTCTTAGAGATTAATTTCGGGGTTCTTACTTTAAAGATAATTTCTGTACTAAAATTGTTGAGAACATGGGGGTTATTTAAATGTGCAGCTGTTATAAAGTAACACTTATGTAATAAAATAGTAAAATATATCTTTGAGATTCTTGTAAGAGATAAAGTTCATCATTATTATTCTTAATGGAGGATTTTGTTAAATTTTAGTTAGAATCATTAATATGCATGAATCACATATATGCAGAAACCACACAAAATTTCATTTTCTTTCTGAATTTTGAATTAAAATTATGAACAGATTTTATTTTTTTAACAACTAGTGAAGAACCTTTGGTGAGTTTACAAAAATTATGCATTTTCTATATTAAGGTCTGATTAATAGATTTTTATCTTTTTTATATACTATGAGAAGTATAGACATAATTATTTCTTAAACCTGTTCATGACTTTATCCATGAAACAAATCTATGATAATATTAGGTTTTTTTTTTTTTTTTTTTTTTTTTTTTAAATTTTATTTACTAAAATTTTATATATCAGATACCTAAAGATGAAAAATTATGGTTTAGTTAATTAATTTCAAAAAGTATCCAAGCATGTAAAACTGAAGCATAAAAATATTTATTCATGAATACATGAAAAAATCCAAAAAGCAGTATCCATTTAGGAATAAAATATTTAAAAGAAAAAGATAGAGACTGTTAGTTTAGTAAAATCTTTTTATATTAAAAGTACCTAACCTTATATTAAAGGCGAACGGGTTGGCTGCATGGGTGTTTTTGTGGTTTTCCCCATGTGTAACGTGTATACGAGCAAGTTTCCATTAGAAAGTTCTCCACGTCCCCTTGGGCAAATAACCCTAGTGTGCTTTGCCATAATTAAATACACCACACCACACCACACCACCTTATATTAAAGTAAATTTGGCCATCATTCCATATAGGTATCTGTGGTACTGAGATACTTATTTTACAAGGATACAAGATTCTGTTAATGCTAATCATACACATTTGTTAGCAGTTCATTTAGAAATGAAGATACTATTTTCTGGAATACTTTGTAGTTATAAAATAATTTTTGCCCAAAAATTTGTTTAACTGTTGAAAAAACAGTAAATATTTAGGATGAAATTGAGGTTATTGACCAATTGCTCCCAAACCTGTAATCACAATTTCTGAAGTAGCTGTTATGAATTTAGCCTTAAGTTCATGCTGTCAGCCAAGAAGCATTTCTTGTAATTTCAAAAGGATCTGCTCAGTGTATTCAATGTTTCACGAGCAGAATTGGAGCAATTATTGTACCACAATGCAGTGGTCATCTGCTTAGCTGCACTTTGGCTTGATTAATAGTGTGCACGATGCCATGCCATAAGTTATTGTTTGATCTAACGTGCTACACATCCTTGTTTGCATTTGGGTGTAACAGACAACTCGATTTTTTTTCTCAGTCATGATATAAGAAAGTAAATAAGCATCTTTATTTGCTTATTGTGCCAATATCAGTGCAGCTCTAAATGAAAGGTCCCCCCCCACACACACTTTATATTTGGTATATTCTTTGGTAAGCATATACAGTCAAAAGTTGTTAATCCGGACTCGTCGGGACTTCGGCGATTCCGGATTATCGATTTTTCCGGATTATAGATCATCAGTTTAAATCTCGTAAGATGGCATGCAGAAATTCTAAAATTAAAAATATAAAATAAAGAACAATTATGATCCAAAGGGCATCAAAATTTACAAAAAAAAAAAGCTTAATATTTATTTGTTTACTTTATTAAACATTTCTTTCAATGTAAGTTGTTTAAGTTGCTTCGTTTTATGTGATAATACTTTCTCTTTAATTCTATAAACAGACATAATTTCTTCTTCAGTTACAAAGTTCCGCTGTTCAAGGCCCGTTAATTGCTGTGCCGAGAATACCGACTAACTTGTCAATCGAAATTTTTTCGTTTTCACTAACCTCTCTGTCACATTCTTCATGTCTTTATCCATTTTTTGCAGCAATTCCACCTTTTGTTTGTTGGACATCGAAACATACTTTCGTTTTGTAGATCCTTTGCAAGTTCCAGCATCGGAAATTCTATTTGACATAATCGAAAGTTCAAGTTTACTTTTATAAAATTGCTCTTACAGTCTGCAAAAAATAATAAGCGGGATCCAATTCGAAGATTAAGGAACAACGCAATCATTAACATTAACTGAAATAGATAATTAGATAATTTTAGCTTACACCGTCCGTTATACATTAAACGCGCAGGCGAAAACGTATTCTGCACTTGCGCACACGCATATGCGCAGTAGTCAAGGTCCTACGCGCACGCGTAAAACGCCTGTGCGCATGTGCCACAGCGGCGCATACGCAGAAAGTTTTTAGCTTTGAGGTCCGGATTATAGATCATTCCGGATTATGGGTGTCCGAATTAACGACTTTTGACTGTATTGTTATTACTTAGCACACACTTTTTCACTAAAGCAGATGACAGGCAATGATATCATGCATAATGGATATATGAGAATAGTGTATGGAATTCATGATTCTCATATAACACATAATGTTCATATCACTATTCTCATATAACACATATGAGAATAGTGTATGGAATTCATG